GTAAGCGCCGGATTATTGTCTCATTTATTTCACGTTGGGGTGCCGACGCTTCTGTCTAAGCCAGAACGCGTACCGTGCTGGACGCACGCCGACGCAGACGGAAGGTGAGTTTGATTGAAGCTTATAATTGACGGAACGTTGAGCTCATGGACCCTGCAGCGGATCTGGCGACATTGAAGCAGACGCTGCAAATGGTGGCCGACCTGATGCGCCATACAGGCGTCGGGGGCCTGCCTCTCCTGCCAGTTGCCGATGGAACTGAGACCGCGCCCCTTCCCACCGAAGAGCAGCTGATCACGCAGACGACACGAGCGGTTCAGGTGCTGTACGACCAGCTGAAGCGGGGGCAGGACAGCGCAGCTGTCATCGCCAATCTGCTCAACAGTGCGGAGCGGCGATGATCTTGTTCTTCAAGGTACAGTCACCCACCGATTGGATGACTCGAACGTCAAGAGGCGACACCTCTTTTCAACCATTCGCCCCTCCTTCGAGGTCTTCGCGGCCTGTGCTAGAGACCCCCTGCACACAACCTTTCACCTCCGAAGCGTACGGACTTTGTGGTTCTTCCCGTGCACCGTATCCATCTCTGTTCCTGCTCCATGTGCCGCCATTATCTTCTTCTGTGTCGCCTTCTTCCCCGCCCTCCGTCCTTGTGCTCTCGAACAACCGCCATTGGGGTATGGGCGTAACGTTGTGCGAATATACTGTATAAATTGTTCATCCCGCATTCTCCTCACCGTGCCTACCGCAATTTCTGGACGCTGTCCTTCCTGGCGTTCCTTTCCGCACTGGCGCTCATTTAGTCTTCGCGCACTTCTTCCGTATTTTTCTGCTCCGTTGCCAGACTCCCCTGCGCGATTTAATTCCTTGAGCCTCGTCTTGCCGTTTCCTCTTTTCATTTCTGTCCTTCCCCTGCGCGAGTCAATTTGCGTGTTGCTGTTACATACTCGTTAATTTTTGTGCAGGAATTGAGTCTCGAGAGCAAAATCAATGCTGACAGCACAATCGAAGCAAGAAGAATGCTGAGTTCACTGGGGCCATGGGTAAGAGGGAATGGCTCAGTGATCAGCTCATGCATCCCCTGATCCTGCGGGATGCATCTGGTAGGGAAGACCAAGGGAAGGCTCGTTCGAGTCCGGGTTGGGCATCAAGATTCGGACTGGGGGGTTTTTTTTTTTTTTTTCTGTTTTGGATCTGTTTTAGATCGTGACCGATAGGACAATCACCCGCCACTCAGTGCTGATGCGGCAACCCAGAGCTTGACTACCGGTTGCGACAGGATGTATGTAACTCTTTCCGCGACGAAGGTATCAATGAGTTATTCTGCTCTTCAGATTCCGGGCGCGCAGTGTAATGTACCCGTCAAAGTCGAGGGCCTATAGGATGTTGTAGGGATGATCCATTCGTGGTCTGCGGACGCCACACTCGGGAGCAAAATCGTATCCCGAATCGGAGAATTGTGCTGCGCCACCTGGCGTCGCCTTGTGGATCGACGAATGGGCTCCGCGAAAAATGCATCACAAGGTGAGCGACGGTGGCAATGAATCAATAAATAAAATGGACAATAGGACCCGTTGGCGTCGGTCACGAGCCCGTTTCATATCGAGCTCCGCTTCTCTCTACGCTCCTCCTCCTCCTCTTTAGTCCTGTAGGATAATAGTCCATAGGCGAGTCACTAACCCAGGCCTCCGAATCTCACATGAGCGAAGTCGATGTTGGTGATGATGTTCTCAGCCTCGCTCACCGCTAAATTTATGTTTGGAGCGGTAGAAAAAAAATTGGTCGCGGACACGATCCGGATAAATTTGGCCACAGATAAGAGATTCCCTTCCTCGCTTCCCCATCCTCCTTCTCTTTCAGCCACAATGGCTAGCCTCCTCGCCCCTACATACGGTATATGGATGGTTGGTTTGTTTTTGATGTCTATGTACGTCGCGTGGATCATCTCCGAGTTCAGCGCCCCTTACTGTCTATAGATTGCTAGGCATGGGCCTCCTGCAAGTCTGTCTGTGCGCAGCGCCATGGCCCTTGAAGAATACCACTGATGATTAAATAGCTACTTCCTCTGGTACCACAAGGATCACTGGGGGATCAAGGCAACGGTAAGACTGCTCCGCTGTACTCGACAACTTGGACTGACGCCTAGCCGTAGGTGATCTTGATCACGTTTGTAGCCTTCGAGAATCCTCGAACGGGCATTGACAGTCGTATTCAGCGTTCTCGAGGTCACCCAGACGTCGTTATTCTTTAGCGCAACGTACACCCAGCTTATCGATGGCTTTGGGGACTTTGAGGGGCTTGGGGTGCTCCCCTGGTGCGTCAGGTATCAGTGATTATGGTTAAGTGCCCACTGGCGGCGACTGCAGGCAGGGACCGACTCAAATACTCCTACTGGTGATCTTCCTCCCACCTCCTCCAAAGCTCACGCTCATTATGTATCTGGGAAGTATGCATCAACCTTTGTAGCTCAATTGTACGCCGTGTGTTCTTTGGGCTAGGGTGGTGCTGACGAGGCGCAGATACTTCTCGTATTGCATCTACATCCGTGTGTGCTTCTCGAATATCCCGCACCCAAAATAGTGATCCGGCTGCGATAGTGTACATGAGAAGGGTCCTTTTCTCTCTCTTTATTGCCATGCTTGCATTCGCTAGTTTCGGTAAGCATAATCCTCGAGCTCCTTCATATTGTGCTTGTTTGACAAGTTGAGTTTCCAGGTGCTGGTGTAGGTGCGGATCTGCCGGTCCCATGTATGTCCGATCTCTGACTGTTCGTTTGCACAGCGGAAGTCATTCTTACGTTCGCGGCCGACGGGTATTCATTCGACAGGCTCAATATGATCAAGGAACTCACGGGCTTTGGATCGATCGCGGTGCGTGCTATAAGTTCGAATTCGCTCCATGATGAACAGAACATTCATAATTTATTGACATTCGCCACAGGCCGTAAGCAATACGCAGGCGGCTGTGGCATTAACCTGTGATGTCTCGATCACCGCTAGCCTCTGCTGGCGACTGAACAGCAGCAAGACTGGGATACAGTCGTTCGTTTCATATTCTTTTTTTGCGCACAGACACGCCCGGTTGATCAATAAGCAGGACCAACCAATTGCTCAATTTCCTCATCATGACTACGATCAACCGAGGAGTCCTCACCATGGTCACCGCGGTCCTGAACATAATTCTCGCAAGGGCACTTCGTCCCCGTGAAATGCGCCATCTGATATGTCCGTAGTTCGTGACCCAGCCAGGGACGTTCTACTTTCTATTCGTACTCCTGATCAGCGGGAAATGTATGTGTCCACTCCCATGCAAGCTTATCGTCGAGTACCTGATTTTCTGCCAGTTTACATGAACAGCATGCTGGCAATGTGAGCTCGATTTTTCGTGGTTAAGCCCATGGCGCCGCGCTAATTGTCAAATCCAGGCTGAACACGCGGAAACACGCCCAATCGATCGCCAAGCTTGCCGAAATGACAGTGGACCACATTTCGCTCTCCGGATTTCCACCGACAACCACCAGTGAGGGCATCAATGTCTCGGTGACGCGCGAAACAACCACGGACCGGTAAGTCGCCGATGACGCTAATGGCACTTCCTGACGTCTTCGCAGTGGCGGGAAAATTAGTTTCTGAGAGAAGAAAGAGTGCGATCACCCAGTGTTGTCCCTTCAAGCGTGGGTGTGGAATTGTATTACGAGCATCGCTAGGCGATGGCCTGTTGAAATCAACGGTTTCATTTCTCCCATCGTTGAACCTCATGCTACGCTCAAATTTATCATCCATCTCAGCTCACCCTGAGCCAGTTGTAGCGTGGGAGTTGATATTGGCAGGATCGTGAGACGATGACCTGTTGAAATTTGAACAGTGAATTGATATTGAAAAAGATTCGAACTCATCTCAAATGGCCTAGCCTGGATTCGAACCAGGACCTTCCGCAGACCCTGACGGCCAATTGCCTACATTAGTGAGGCTGTGGTACCTTCCGACAATAGGCCTTATTCATCCCTCGCTAAACCTCATCTCATGCAAGATCTCATGCGCGATTATTCTGTGAGTTGTAAGCAATGGTGAAGCGGAGAAAGAAAATGCATCATTCAGCGTGCAGGGATGGTCCACATTAAGGCTTGAGCCAAGGGAGGAAGAAGGAAGCCCGGGAATAGATTGGGCTAGATCTAGAGACGGGGAGTTAGTGAGCTAGAAAAGAAATAAGAGAAATAGCAAGCACCCGCCTCATGTCCTAGCCTGGATTCGAACCAGGAACTTCGGCACACATGAACCATGTCTTCCCACACCAACGCTTGCGGACACGGTCCCTTCCGCCACTAGCTCTCATCTCCACCCAATCAATCTTCGTCTCGTGCGGTGATATTCTATGAGTTGTAAAGTAACAGCGAAGAAAAAACGAATCACTCCGGTTCTGAGAAATGAATGTGCCAGGGGATTTCAAGTTACACTAGGGCAGGGCATCCGGACGAGGAAATAAAGAAGAAAAGGAAAAAAATGCTTAGTCAACCTTTGCGTGACCTAGCCTGGAGTCGAACCAGGATTGCGTAGAATGCAGCTGCCAATTTGGTATGGACACCGTACGCTCCGCCACTAGATGTCATTCCTTCGCAATTAACCCTCGTCTTGTGCGGTTTTATGCTGTGAGCTTGGCACCCCGGAGCGGAGAAAAAAAATCACAAAGCCGCTGGATTCGAACCAGAGCCTTCCGCAGGGAAATTACATTCTACTCCACAACACTTGATGCGGACGCGGTACCTCCCACCACTAGGTCGTATACCCACCCAAGTTTTGTGCGCAATTATTCTACCAGTTAGTTCAGCAACCCAGCAGAAGAACCAGGGACAATCAACTCACCTCCATCGGCCACTGGGGTCTTCATGCATGCAAGGGGGTAGCAAGCTGAATAGTGGGATGCGCGTGCCATAATGCGAAAGGATTCACAATCAGGGCGGGCGTGCGGACCAGAAAGGGAGGAAAAAATGTATTCAAGAGCCATGACCTAAGGAGTCGAACCCGGAACTTCCGCTGAACTGACTTTTGGGTTGGCACAAGATGCGGACGCGATGCCAGCTTCGCTATCAGGTCTTTGTTTATAGCATCCTAGTGAGAAGGTTGAATGGAATTTCGGGCAGGGAGGATTAACCACTTGAAGCAAGGAAGTCTTGATGTAATTTATTACTTACCTGGTGCGCGAAGCAGGAACTCGGGATATTTGTGCACGATGCAACTCGGGCTTATCTGTATACGATCCAACGCCCGCTCATCCGTGCACGATGCAGCTCGCGCTCATCCGAGCTTCTGGCTGTGCATCCTGAGGGAGGCGGGGGTGATTCTGAAATGGAGAGGAGCGCGGAGCAAAAAAGCAGCTAAGTCTACCACAATGACCTAACCTGGGTTTCCACCGAACTCCACAGACTTTAGCCATTATGAGAAATGTGGACAGGATACTTGCTTCGCCATTGGGTCGTGATGAAAATCAGCATGGTGTGGCCCTGAGCGGGGTCACGGTGGAGGATCTTATTGACGCCATGTACTGCCAACGGCAGATCGACCCCTGACTCAGGCCCTGAGGCTCGAGTGAGTACAGACGTAGCGGAGATTGGTTTGATGTAGCCTGAGGCTGTCAAGAGAGACCGAGTAGTATTGACTTGCATGTTAAGCTGATCATGAGATCTTGGCTGAGATCCGAGATCCGGACGACGAGCAGATAGCAAGCTTAGCACAACAGAAATCACTGGCAGGAGACAAGGCATTCAGCAAAAGGATAGATTTGCGCAATTGTGGCGGCGATAGCAGGCAAGGCGGCGCTCAAATACATGGACGTTGAACCGATCAGCCTGGACACAAGCCAGACAGATCGGCGGGCTGACTAAGCACGCCCCCAGATCAAGACCTCGACGGCCAGCACGACAATGAGGAACGGACACGGCGAGCAAGACGCCCGAGACGACGAGCAGCAGCCACGAAAGAAACGAGATTAAGGTAAGAGACGACGGGGAAGGGGGTGCAAACTCTAATGCTCGCCATAGCAGCAGCCGTCACCAGCCAGCGGATACACGCCTGCGCCGTAGCACCCAGTCGCAGCCCCACCACCAGCTCGCAGGCCCGGATGGAGCTCGGTTGGATCGAACAATGGGCGATGCTCCTCATCCTCGAGGCTGCACGCCGCGGGCTCATCCCGCCCGTCACGGGCCGCCTCGTCGACGCCAAGCGCCGCTTGATCGCCAGCGGGAGCGTGATTGTGTCGGACGAGAGGGCTGGAGTGATCAAGGCAAGCGGGGTGCGGAAAGTTTGAGTCGCTCGAGGACACTGGGCACGTCGGGCTCGTCCAGAAGGTGTGTTCGCCGTCAAATATCGGCTATCCTGCTCATTATTTACATTGGCCTTTTCGCGCTCTCTCCTTCACATTTCGAGTCCTTCCTCTTCAATACTCCAGTTCCCCGCTCGTGGTGCGCGGATTCAAGAGCTCTGTTCCCAGATCGTCTGAATCTGCCTCCGCTCGGTCACTCCCATTGTCTACACGCCGCCCCTCCCGCTCTCGAGCCTCGCCTAATCTCGCTTGTTTCGCTTGTTTCGTCACTTGCGTTTGCGTCTCACATTATAGAGCCTACTCAAGCCCCTGCTGGTCCTCCCGAGCCTCCGAATCCGTGCCCATTCTGTGTTCCGCGCCGCCTTAGCCCCACACTCGTCCATCATCCTTTCGCCACTGACATCCTGCGCATCCTCCATCCCCTTATTTTCGCCGAGTACTCCTCATTCTAATCCTGCGTATGCCTCTGGCTCCCTCACCGCCGTCGAATTGCTACCGTAAATAGGCTCTTGGCGTATCATTGTGTGAATATATCTCCATCTGCGCTTTCTTTCCGCATTAGTGTCTGAGTGCTCTTTGCTGCCCATCGCCTGTATGTATGCCTGCTTCCGCCCCGTCGGCCATATCCCGCCCTGAGCGCCTCCCTGCATCACCGCCCATCCCACTAACCGTCCTCCCGCCTGAGCGAAAGCTGAGTTAGCCTACGGTCTCCGTATCTTGCGACCTGTGCTTCACTCTAGGCGTTAGTCTTTTTTCGTTGTGCTTCGAACGGAAGAAGTACCAAGGCAAAAAAAGCAGAAGGCCCGCTGTATGACCTAACCTGGATTCGAACCAGGATTACCCGCGGACGAACTAAGTCCCCAAGAGCGAAAGGTGTGCGGGCGTGATACCCTTCCCCACGAGGTCATATTAGTGCAAGATCGAACTCCGACTAGTGGGACTCCTGATTTGAGGCGACGGCGTAAATGTGAGTTAACTTTGAAAAATATTTTCTCATGACCTGGCCTGGATTCGAACCAGGGGATCCCGTGCACAAACTTCTTCATGAATAATGAAAGGTGGGCGGGCGCGATACCTTTCGCCACCAGGTCTTTCATCTAACAGCGAACACTTAGTTTAGGTTTAGGCTGATACCGCTCGCCAGCAGGTCTTGTGTCTGTGACACGAACCGCGATTAATTCTACTTTCTACTCTATTAATCGTGGTTTGAGCTGGTAAACATTGTCCTTCCTCAACCATGAATGACCTGACCAGGCTGACCTGGATTCGAACCAAGATATTCCGCTACAAACGACGCACGAAGGGAAAGCGGTGCGTGCGCGATACCTCTCACCATTAGATCTGATTTCTCCACCGGAGAACTCCGACTAGTTAGGCTTCAAGCACAGGGCGATTATTCATTGTAAGAGCCTCGAGAAGATTACTGGAAACATGCCTTCGCTTCGCTCCGGTAGTTGATCAGCTCACAAGGAGTAAGAAGAAATGATCAAATTGATTGCGCATAGACTGGGCACGGCGAGCACGGCAGATTAGAGTAAGTTGACCAAAATCGACCTACCGCTCCCGCGTCAGATTGACGGGGACCGGGGACAACAAATCTAAACCGGAGACTCTATCGCCTGTCCAGCGCAGCCAAACGAAAATCTTGCCCGGTCGGTCGGCTGTTGAACCGACCAGGCGAGATTTCAAAAAGGAGCAGAACTCACAACAGGAAATGAGCCAAAATATTAGGCTGTCATCCTACGAAGATTTTTCCTCTCCGGGTGTTGGCCGGAGGCCCATGGAAGATGGCAAGAATGGGAGAAAATGCCCCTGGATTGCCGCTGCAACATTGCGTTCGTTGTAGTACTTGCGCTGGATTGCTAGTGGTGTACCGGCATTATTACTGCGCGAACAATTCAACCCGCGGACACGCCGTAGAGGGCGGAAATTTCAACAACGGATCGCAGTCGCTCTAGTGAAACTCCATTGGCCAGATTCAGATGACTGAACCGATGCAGTTGCGCAGCATGCAGTTGTGCTGGAGACGTCAGAAGGTTCTTGACAATTGTACAGGCCCACGGTATTGATGAGACAGAAAGGAGGTTAGTTGCGCTCGCCTTTTATACGTAGTAGACACGCAGTTGAACCACGTACCAGTACTGCGCTGTGGTGAAAAAATGTAAACAATTTGGAAACCGTTGAACAACTTTGCAACTGCGCATCAATCATGGGACCTGTCCATTTGCGTTCACAGCTCAAAGCCGGTTTTCCTTCCGCATCCCATACGGTCCGAGTGGGATAATGTGGTCGGATGCGGATGCTTTCCCGAAGGCTATGTTGGATCAATGCGATGATAACTCAGGCTGTCAGTCACTTGACGTCGTGGACGAAGGACGAAGAGAGAGCAAACGAGAAGAGGATAAGCCGTATGGGGATTGAACCAATGAAAGACCTGTAATGAAAGCCGTCCATCTCGTTACTAAGAGAACGAATAATCCCTGCAGATGGCTACCATAAATCACACCGCCGACATTGCGGCAGAAGAGTGGTTAAAATCAGGCTGTGGGGCATCGCTTTCATCCACCCTTCTCCCCGAACGCCCATCCTCTCTCTCCTCCTCCTCCTGCTTTAACTTCAAAAGGGAAAATTGAGAACAATGGTGAACACGGTGTTCGCCACCCCTCAGAAGAAGGGTGTGAGAGGTCTTTAAGAGAACGGAGAATCCCTGCAGATGGCTACCACAGATCACACCGCTGACATCTACGGCAGAAGAGTGATTCAAAATTAGGCTGTGGGGAATAAAAGCAATGGCACCGCCTTCGTCCACCCTTCTCCCCGAACGCCCATCCTCTCTCTCCTCCTCCTGCTGCTTTAACTTCAAAAGAAACAGAAATAGAGAACAATGGCGAACACGGTGCTCGACAACCCTCAGAAGAAGAGTGTGAGAGACTTGTCCCTTGGTAATGCGGCTATCTCTCCCATCGCAGCAGTCACACTCATTTGTGTTTGGCTAGATGGCCGTGGAGCTGGAGCACTCAAAGCTTTCCCACTTCCAACTGTCCATTTCACGGGGAGAAAAGACATTCTCCGAAAGATGACCGACTATTTCAACACAGATGTGGGTCAACGGCATGTCTTCCTGTTACATGGGCTTGGAGGGGTCGGAAAAAGCCAAATTGCTTTTAAGTTCATTGAGGAGTCAGCTACGCCAGAACCACGGTGTGTCTTTTCTCAGTTAAGCTGAATTCAATCCTTATAGTGGTATAGTTTCTCCGATGTCTACTTTGTGGATAGTACCTCCCAACAAACGATTGAAAATGATCTAGTTGCACTTGCTCTCGCCAAGAACTTTGGCAAAACAGTCCACGACAGTTTACTCTGGTTGTCTCACCAGCGGAGCGAAGGGCTAATTGTGTTCAACAATGCGGACGATGTCCATCTCAACCTTGTGCAATATTTTCCTGCTGGGTCCCATGGAAATATCCTCATTACTTCCCGCAATCCCAACCTTGGGCAGCTTGCACAGGTGAAGCACAAGGTCGACCGAATGGAACTCCAGGAGGCTACAGAGCTCCTCCTATCTGCTGCCCAATGTGATATCACTGAACCAGAGACCAGCAAAATTGCTGAGCAACTGGTTAAGGTATGTTGGGTCCACAGAAATTAGATGCCAGCTGATGATGTTCCCTTAAAGAAACTCCACTGCCACCCCTTGGCTGTGGTACAGGCTGGAGGGTACATTTCCTCATCCGGAGCTCTTCAAAAATATCTCGACCTGTACGAAAGTACCGCC